GAAAATGTTTTGAAAATGATGATGGCAACAAATGTACAAATGTGCTTGACAAAATGGATGGATGGATGTATTGTGATAAAAACTGTAAAAGTCCCCAATAAAATGATTTTTTTTAAAAAGAAATCAAGTAACCTGCTTCTTTCTGGTCCTTAGGATCAGAAGCAGAATTGAAATCATCTTGGTTCTAAGTCAGCAGCTTCTTAATATTACACAATATAGAATCTCAACAGAACAAAACTAAATTGCCATGAATTTCCACTCATAATTCCACATTTTAATATGTTGTGTTTTGGTATCTTTTTTCTTAGTTAACATATTCAATACATTCCACTGGACAGGAAAATGGAGCTTAATCTTAGCAAAGCACTGGAGAGGCTCAGTTCCTTTCTCCAATGTATTCTGGTGGTCAACTGTGTATTTCCAACGGCTAACTGTCCAACAGATGAAAAACCTTATGCTTTCCCAAAGGCAGCATGAGAAAAGGACATTGTGATACAGGTAGGTCTTATTTCTAAGCAACATTTGAATTCCAAAGAGTTATATGATACTACACAGTTCAAAACTGTCCTCATCTTGCTTTCTCTCGCGTCAAGAAATAATGGCAAAAGATCTAAGGAATAATATGAGCCCGCGTATACAATGAAATCTCTAGGTATTAGAAAATAAATCAATGTGCTCTCTAAACAAGTATACTGACAAGACATAGTTAACTACTGTACTAAAAAACAAATATACGATTAAGTCCGTTCAAATTAATGTTTAACTTCTAAGAGCTATTTGAAATGCACTGTTTATCAAACTCCTGACTCTGCATAGGGATAACCACTTGAAGGTGAGAAAACTTTGTGCTCTATTTCATTGGTGAAGCAAACTAAATTTAAAGAGCAAATATGTTGGATGATTAGAAATCACCCTATGTTATGTAATTAACAATAACATCATATTTCTAATTCATATTCCTAGAAAGAGAAAAGGAAAAGTTAGGACTGACAAATTTAGTAACAAAATAACTTATTGTTTTGTTTGGGTTTTTTTTAATCATTTTATTGGGGGCTCGTACAATTCTTATCACAATCCATACATACATACATGCATTGTGTCAAGCACATATGTACATTTGCTGTCATGGTCATTCTCAAAACATTTGCCTTCTACTTAAGCCCTTAATATCGGCTGCTCATTTCCTCCCCTCCCTCCCTACTCCCCCCTCCCTTATGAACCCTTCATAATTCATAAATTATTATGATTTTGTCATAGTTGGCTTTTTTTAAACCCAATTCTGTGAATAAGTGAAGATTTATCTGCTGAAAACTGCAACCGGTAATATATATTAATCTCTTGAAATTATTCTAGTCACTAGTATTAGGCTTGCAAATGAACCCAGATTAACCAGTTACTGCTGCTGCTGAGTTTAAAAAAAGAGAGAGAAAATAATAGTTAAGACTACACTTTTATGTTTCTTACTCCTAACATGCTTTTAAATATAGTCATTTTCTTTTCTCTCGTTAACTTTAAGATACATGTAAAACAGTATTTTTTTTCCTTTGATAGAGATGAGAAAACTGAGGTATAAGGAAATCAATTTCAACTCCCAGAGATCCCATGTGACTGTAAAATAGCCCCATAGCGTTTTCTTGGTGGTACTCTTTACTGAAGCAGACTGCCAGGGCTATCTCCCATTGAGCCTCTGGCTGGGCTCAAGCTGCCCATCTTTCTCACAACAGCCAACAACTTAACCACTGAAGACCCTATATATTCTTTATATCTCCCCTTGACCTCAGGGTTTTCCTGAGATAGTTCTAGCTATTTAAATACCTACAAACTTCTATAATGATCAATGGCAACTTTTAAAACATCACATTAGGGACACATGCTAATTGTATCTAAATATTGACCTATTGGTAAATGCACTGTGCTATATTTGTGCTGAAGCTAGCACTGGGATAAATATGGAGATATTTTAACCTTTCTGCTCTGAAGCAGTCCTTACTGAATCTGCAAAGTCATCTTTCTTTAATCAGGTTTAGTGTTTGGTATGAAAACATACTAACAAAGCAAATGGTAGCTAGCAATGGGGTGGGGGGGTGGGGAGTCACCTTGGCAGGATGCTAGTAAATCAAGTCATTATTCCGAAAACCAATACAGAGAAAATAGCAAACATTATTCTGCCTGCCTTTCCCTTACGGAAGTGTCATCAAATAACTGACAAGGAAAAGTTCTCTATGTAAGTGTTCTATGGATATACGCAAAAATTAGTGATGATCACTACATCTGTGATTATTCTAATCCTTTCAAAAACGGAACCTGAGTCGGATGGCTCACTTGGTACTTCAGATCAAGTCTCTAGCTCCTCTTGTTCAGAGGAGCAAGTAAATAAAGCCAAAGGAATTCAATCAGCAAACTCTGGACTCTGAAAAACTCTAAAGTCAAAAACCTGGTTCCTTCAACAAATGCATAGCAAGGAATAATATGTATTTTTTTAAAAGAATCTAACAAAGACTGGGGATGGGAAGGAAAGGTATTAAAAAGACTGAAGGGAAAATATTTATGAAATGCCTAGAACAGGTATTTGAAGATTTAAGGGTTGTATATGATTATGCTTTTAAAAGGAGTCATTATTTTAAAGAAATCATTTTAAGTGCTTACAGATAATTGTATACTGTCTGGAAACAGCTTGGGGAAAAAATCAGGAAAATGGGGGTTATAGATAAAGCACAGGTAGACATGAGTTAATAAGTACTCAAACTGGGTGACAATTATCAAAGGATTCGCTATTTTATCTTCCCGATTTTGTGCAGGTTTGAAATTTTCAATGAAAGTAAAAAGATGAACATTCTATAAACCAATCTATATAATACAGACCAAAAAACTACTTGTCTCTCAGAGATCAAAACAAAAACTTTGTCTACTGCACACACACACACACACACACACACACTTCACAAAATTACATGACAAACTGAAACCCAGAGGTAAGTCTTGCTCAAAGCACAGAATAAAACAGCAGCAGAGCCAAAGCAAGAGGTCTCAAAAGCCCTCAGAGTTAGCGAAGACCTACAAAACTTTTCTAAAAGAGCTAAACAATTCTGAAGTCATCTGAAAGCCCATCCAAAGCGAGGGTGGGAGGGAAAGGTATCAAAAAGGTTGAAGAGAAAAACACACACACACACACACACACACAAAATATATATATTTGTGTGACTTGAGAAGTTAAATCGTAAAATCATAAATACGGCTAGAAAGTTTACAGAACTGGTATTTGACAACAATCCTCGCATAGAGCCAAAGTGTTGAGTCCATGATATATGTTTGGTAGGTGGAAAGGTGCTCTTGCAGAAAAAGCAGGTGCTGCACAGCTTAAAAGTCATTTGCTCCTGTACTGATGAAACATGAAACCGTGATGTTAAGTAACTGTTCTTTCAAAATAATTGTGCACAAGTTTTAAATCCTATTAAGTGTACAAATGATTTAAATCTTAAACATAAAAATGGTGTTTATCTTCCCATTAAAGAAGATACAGGCATCAAGACTTGACCACAAAGGGCTTTCACTATTAAGAGATATTTTCAAGAGAGTAAGGCTTCAAATTTGTATTTCAAAGAATAAAATACGGTATATGCCAGGGAACTATACTACCTTTTCAAAAAGCACTGTGCCACTTAAATAAAACATGAACTTGACCTAGAATCAACATAACTCATTAATAAGACATTGTAACCTTATTTACACCTTTGTCATTGTGAAAATAGCAAAACCTATTAAGTCTGATGTATCTTGAAATAAATCATTTGAAAAAACTACTATTTATACTAAAAACAGATTCTAATTTTCAGCAAGCATGTATTAGTGACTATTTTCAAACTAACATGTATTAGCAGGGAATCACACTCCTTTTTTTTTATCAGAAGTGGACTATTTCTAAAAGAGGCATTTCTGGCATTAAAGTGGACAGGATTAGAAAGTACATATTTTTAAAATCCGCATTATATATTTCAAAAATAAAAGTGTATATATTTTAGTAATTAAAATAAATACCACACCAGGCAGTCAAAGACAATTCTAGCTTGAGCTCTAAAATGTAATATTACAGCTAACTGAGATCACTGTTATCATAATAGCAGCTTATTCAAGTATAAAAGGGGCCTAGAGCCATGCAGAAATGAAGGCTATGCCATAGGCACTTCACTACCATGCTAAACTAACTTCGGTAGACCAGGGGTGTTTTTCTGTGACCCGTGTCAATATCCTCACAGTTCTAATGGTGTGGCGGTTGGCTGAAAAGCATCTTTTTAAGTATTTCCCTATTCCTCCCACTGCCTAAAGTCAAAGCATGTGGGTGAAAATTCTTATCTAGACAAGGAGGAAAAAAAGGAATGATTTCTCAGTGGCGGAAACAAAAATATTAAGGTGTTCTAATGCTTAAGCGCATGAACTTGAATCAGACAATACTGTTGTAAGCTAAACTCTGGTATCCACTAACCATGCAACCTTGCACCAGCTTTTTCATCCTTGGGGATAATAACAATAACTAGCTCACAAGGTTGTTGTTAGGATCAAATGGGATAAGGTTCATAAATTGCTAACAAAGTGACAAGCACCTCAGTCAATGACCTTTTGATGACAACTACAAGGGTTATTAAAAAAAATTAATGCTCTTCTTACACAATAAAAACACCTGTATCCTACTATCCATTGTGGGAGAAAGCGAAAAGCACAAAAACATACAGTTTCCTTTTCTGTTTGGGTCCTAACTCTACTTAGATAATTTTGGGATCATTGCTCACAACTACAAAAACCACACCCTATAGTTTTTAAGAGCATGCATGTCCACAGGGCACTGGCTCAGGTGGGAAACAGCTGATCACTTACATTCTTCAAAAACCTGGGTTATAAATATATGGAAAACACCATCACCCATTAAATAAGGTGATTATAAGGCCAGTCACAAAATTTTATAGCAAAGTATTTTAAAACTTTAAAATAAAAAGGAAAGTGATTACCTTTGTACAATAAAGCATCCAAAGTTCAAAGAGCCTCTCTCTGGATGCCATTCTGGCTTGGACTCTGGCACTTTTAACTTTTCTTCCACAAAAAAACAAAAATAAAAATTATGTTCAAGACCACAGCATGTGCATTTTATTTTTCGAGGTTTTTTCAGCCCTTACAAGTAAAGCTCGAAGCAGTAGCGCAAACAAAAAGAAGTGAAATAAATGGGCTGTCTGTCTTTTGGTCAATAAGAGTTTCAGCTGTTCCGCCAACGTTATCTCCAAGCACTGGGAAGTGGTCCTTGGGCAATTAGTTAAATCTGTGAAAGAGAAAAATACCCAAAGGTTAGCAAATGATGCCACACATTTTTTAATCTAGACTTATCGGCAACTAGGAAAGCTTTATCTGCTTCATTTCCCACCAGCCGACTGAATGTTTACACCAATCAGATTTCATAGACCCGTGCAGTCGTTCGGGGAGAAAAATCAGAGCTATTTGCACCAACACAGAGAACACTTTGGGGCAGACTCCCCACCGTGGGTACTGGCCACCAATTTTGCGTGCAGCGGTCAGCAGAGTGACAAACAGCAAGGAGTTAGTCTGCAGAAGCAGACATAAAGAAAAGGCCTATTTGCTACGAAGGTTTCCCGAAGACATCACACCTCTGAGCTTTGCCCAGCCTGCTTCTAAAAAGTTGTTGAGTTGTACGATGTGGATTATGTGCCAATAAAACTGGGAGGGAAAAAAACAAAAGTTGTTGAGAATGTTTGCCGTTCGGTGGCAGGGCGTGGGGGAAGGGGTGAGGAATGCCTGGTTGGTTGGTTAGAACAATCCTTGAAAAGAGCAAGTCGACCTGTGCACCTGGTCTCGCTACCTCTGCGTGCAGGAAGGAGACCGGAGCACCTCGGGAAAGCCTCCGAGGATTTTCTGAGAGCTTTACGTTTCCTCCTCGCATCCCAGACAACCGAATCCAAGGCAAACGGAAGGTCTGCTGGGCTGCTCAGGAATTCGCTTCAGAAAGGGGGCACCGCGAACTCGGCGTCTCGGGACCCGCCACCATCCTCGTCCGCTCGCTCCAGGACACGCCCGGAGCAGCCTCGCCCCCTCAAGGCCGCCCTCCTGCAAGTACCCCGGACCCTCCGGACTTGGCGCCCCGCAGCCGCCGCCCCTCCGACCCGCTTGCCCTCACCGCGCTCACTTCGGGGCCGCACCGCCTCCGCTCCGCCGCCGGACAACTTGCTCCCTCGCCCCCTCCCAAACCCAAACCCCGCGTCACCCCGCGGGCCGGCTGGAGGGCTGGGGAGGGAGGCGGGGCCGCGCTGGCGCAGGGCGGGGCCCGAGGGCTGGGCGGGGCCAGGGGCGGGGCTACCCCCTAGCCTAATCTTTTGGGCCGCTGAGGATTTACCCTGCCCTGGAGCAGTCGCTGTTCATTGGCTGCTCAAGCTGGAAGGCGTGAACGTGCCCGAAGCTCCGCCCCAGCATACCTGCGCAGCCGCAGTCCACAAAGCTCCTGCAGCTTTTCTCGCCGCTGGCACCGGGCCAGGCGCTTTGGTCAGTCTTCTTCCCAGCGGGAGAGAAGGGAGAACCAGACGGAACCGACGCGCTGACGTCGGAGCACGCGCGTCCCCATTGGAATGGACTGACGGAGCGCTCGGCTGATGGCGTCATTTCCGGGAATCATCTCCCGGAGCTCCACGGAGATAACTAGAGGGGCTTTTGTTTTGATTTCTTGCTGGGATTGAGCCTGGGAGCATAGTTATGTAAAAATAGACAAGCACCGCCCTCTGTATAAATTAATTTTCCTAATTGGTGTTCGTGTCTCGTATTTTTAACGTGTTTGTTGAGTGTCAACTCCAAAGTTTATTTTGCCACTAGTAAGTGTTCCCACTTTCCCCACCAATTAAAGTCTGATCCCACCCCCCCAAAAAAAGTAGGGGCATGAACAACAGAAACGTGAAGGGGGACAGCGGTCGGTGTAAGATATGAAACCAATAATAATTTATAATATATCAAGGGATCACGAGCGGAGGAGGAAGTGTGGAGGGAGGGGAAAAGGAGTAGCTCATACCAAGGGCTCGAATATAAAGTAAATGTTTTAAAAATTATGATGGCGACAATATGTACAAATATGCTTGATACAGTTGATGTGTGGATTGTGATAAGAGCTGTAAAAGCCCCCAATAAAATGACTTTTAAAGTCTGGCAAATGCGAATACATTCACCGGTAAGTGGTATAGGTGTCAATTAAATGCGATCAGTGCACCTCTGTGAGGCTTCTGATGGCTTCCAAGAGTGGGTCCTTTCACAAGTAGGTATCCCTCTGCCAAGGCGCTGCAGCAACTTTTTCTCAAAAGATACCTCAAGGAAAACGCATTTGTCCACCGGAGAATACATTTATCTTAAGACTGGCTTCAAAAATGAAAACCTAACCCTACCAGTGGCTCTTGGAGACCTTCTAGGACAGGGCAGAACTGCCCCGTGTGGATTTCTGAGACTGTGACTCTTTACAGGAATAGAAAGCCTCGTCTTTCTGACCTAATACCTTCTAAACCCAATCACCCATCAAATTCTATTTCTAGTCCCGTGTTCATGACAAAAGGCCTCCACATTAACAAAAAAAGGCCAGCTCCAGGGCCTCCAGAATGCTCCTGTGCTCAAACACTCCGCCGGTACTCAGCAGGCGGTTCAGCCCACCTCACCAGCTAAACCCAGAATGCCACTAAATCAATGAGCTGTGAAAATGTACATCTGCCGAGACAGTTGAACTACAGGTATTGTTCCCCCTTTTCGAAAATCACCTTAAGCCACTGTGCTTTTTGGAAAGACACATTAGTAGTTGAAAGAAATCCGAAGTGGATTTTTGCTTTGGAGAAAAGTGAAACTATTGGTCAGCATTTGTTTTGCAGGAGTTGTTAAAGAAGCTGCAACCGTTTCCATGTGTTTTTCATTACATTTTTGTGCAGCTGTTCACTACAGATTATTAGGAAGCACAAGTAAATCTGTCCTTATCTTGCTTTAGGGGTAATTCATTCTTTTTTACTATATTGGGCTACCTTTTCAGAATTCGCAGGATGAGTTTGGAGCAGGATTTCCCCATCACTACTCACATTTTGGATTAGACAATTCCTTGTCATGGGGAACTGCATCATACAGACAGGCTTTTTAGAAGCTCTCTGGCCTTTACCAATAGCACCCCCCAGTTTTGACAGCCCAAACTGTCTCCAGAGAAAACCAACTATCCCAGGAGAAAGGGGTGGTGGGGTGGTGGCGTGTGAATCATCTCAGCTGAGGACCTCTGTTTACAATGAGATTTCCAGGATTTTCCGGGCACATATGAGTAAGATATCTTTTAGGAATCCCATGTGAGAAATGGTCAATTCAGCTACCTTGAGAACTTCAAGAATGAGAACTTGAATGGAAACTTCAAGAATGTGATATAGTACTAAAAGTGCAAGTTAATGCAAAACAGTGCTGCATACAGGTTGTTTTAGGTTGGGTTCCCTAGAGAAGAAAAACCAATGAAGCTTTGATATGTCGAGAGAGGTTTAGATCAACGAAGTGAGACACACAGTTTTAGAAGAGGGCAAATATCAAGTCTATGAACCAGATGTTAGAACAAAGGCTTCTCTCTGGCGGAGCCAACGGGGCTGATGAACCCAAGATGAGCAGGAAGAAAGCAAGCCTCTGGCTGCAGAGGAAAATGAATCCAAGGTTGATAGGTAAGACTCCAAGGTGACTATGACTCCGAGCATAAGTAGGCAACACAGCAGACATTTACTCCAGAAAACCAGAGGTTTGGGAGCCAGATGCAGGGTCCAGACTAAACAAAAAGCAAGCAAACATTTCCAAGAATCTACCTATACTGGGAGCAGCTAACACGCTCAAGGAAATCTCATCATGGGGGATTACTAAGTCTTAACTATCAAATTACTGAGAATCGGGGCCCTGCCAAGTTGCCAAAAAATCTTCATTATCACATGATGGTACTGTTCTTTCCTGTGGTGAATGAAAACCAGATGTCAAATATTCACCGTAATCATGACTGAGCAACTACCTTTTATCAATATTCCTGAAAATAACATTGCAAGGCAGATGGTATTGTCATTTCACAGTTTAGAAGGATGTGGTGCAGAAAGTGTAAGTAACTGTCCAAAGACCACACAACGAGCTATAAAAAGGAGAGGCAAAGTTCAGGCCAGTCACCTACATCTGATTTCAACATTCATGTACTTTCTACAAAACATCCTAACACTCAGGACCAATGAGACAGGTCTTCGTCATATTATTCAAAGTGAAAAATCTAGAGAAATAAAAGACATATACAACTCTTGACACATTTGCATGCCTTCCTTGCACAGGGGCCATGATAATCTTCTCAGGGGCCATGCTATCATTCCAAATTCAGCAGATGTGCTGCCAAAGTCAGCATAATAGGGGAATTTTTAAAAAGATAAAATGGAGAGCATTAAAAAGAACTACCCTGAACAAACGACTGTGGTTAGAAGAAGCTTCCAGTGAAGAGTGGTATCAGGCAGGGCCTTAAAGAAATGGTTGGATTTGCCTGTCCTGAAGGAAAGGCAAACTCTGGAAAGAATGCATTAGACAAAGGTTTTACTCCTGAGCAGATTCTCAGTGTTTAAAGAAGACGATGACTTGACCAGTTTAGATGGGAAAGAAGAAGTAAGGAGATGAGGTTGAATGATGAAAGTGGCAACCAGCCACAGTGGGTCCTGATTTATATTCCATGATGTGTAAAATTAGAATTTTTAAGTAGAGACAAGATTAGAACTATTTGTTGAGCTAGACCTTGTGCTATCTTGCCCAAATAATCATATACACATGCATGCATGCGTGCATACACATGCTCGGATGCACACAGAGTATTACGATTAAAATTAAGTGTAAACCTGGTCTCTTTCATCTATGATGAATTTTCCATAGTGTGTGGGAGTGAATCGAAAGCAGACTTCCACAATCTACAGTAGAGGAAACATTCTTTAATAAAAAAGAAATTGCAAGATGATTCTGTGTAAACATTAGTATTCTCTTTTCCAATTTTTATTTCCTTTTACTTAAATGGTGGGAGAGTGGTCACACATTGTGCTGCTAACAGCAAGGTGAGCAGTTTGAAACCACCAGCTGCTCTGCAAGAGCTTTCTACTCTGTTAAACAGTTACGGCCTCTGAAGCTCACAGGGACATTCTACCGTGGCCTATGGGGTTGACAAGGACCCGATGGCCGTAAGTTTGGTTCTTGGAGTTTTACTTAAATTTGAAGAAAACGTCGAGACTTGAG